TACGAGGCCACAAACTTGCATTCGGTGTCCCAGGGCTGATTTCCGGTGATGGCGAATGCCACCCCACCATCAGGAGTCATTCAGTATCGTTTAACCGACCCCTATTCCCATCCCCATCGCTTTCGAGATCCTCACCAAATTGTCACCCCAGATGGGGGTACACCCCTCGAAACCCGAAGGGAACCACCTATATCCCCATCTAGGGGGGTAAATCGGCCAGCGGGGCCCAGGCCACGCCGCTGGGGATGGGGATCGGTTAAACGATACTCAAGTGGGGCCACCGTCTGACCCAATGGGATGCCCGCCATTCCTTCCAACACGGGTCAGGCTCCAAGTCTCGATTCCATGTGATGCGCCGCCCCACGTGCTTATCACCGCCCGCGGCGCAGATTCCGTGACCCTTGCACGACAGGGTCGACGTACGGATTTTCATGGCCAGCCGAGTGTCTTGGGAATTGTCTACCAGCGGGTTTCCTCGGAACTGTTCGAGGACGGCTGTGCGCGGCCGCTTCGGCTCAAGGCGGCCCCCTCCCTTCCCCTCCCCTCGGATCGGTGGTTACACGTGAACCCTACCCCCCCTCACGATGCACCATTTCAAATGGGGGCGTGGGGGTCCTCTTCGTCTGGGAGCGCCCGAGTGGAGTGAACCCCCACCCCCCCCTTTGAAATTGCGGGGGGGCGAGGGGGAGGGTACTCCAGATTTCGTAATAAACGGAGGGGGGGTCTCATTTCGGGGGGGGTCTCTTCCAGGCTATCTTGGAGGGCCTGGGGGGGACGAGGTTTTGGAGGGTTCTCCCACGGGGGGGGGGTCTGAAATGGCTTGTCTTGGAGGGTCCAGACCCCCTCCCTTTTATTACGAAATTTGGAGTAGTGTTCACACGTGGCCACCTGTCCGCATCGCAGAAGTGCCCCCTCCGCCCCGCCGCGGGAATGACGGGGCTGCCCAGCCCCGGGGCGCCGCTCGAACCCGGGGGAGTGAGGGGGGGAGGGAGGAGGGAGGAGGAGGAGGGAGGAGGAGGGGAGGAGGAGGAGGAGGAGGAGGAGAGGAGGAGGAGGAGAGGAGGAGGAGAGGAGGAGGAGGAGGAGGAGGAGGAGGAGAGGAGCAGGAGGAGGAGGAGGAGGAGGAACAGGATGGGGGAGGAGGAAACGGATGGGGGAGGAGGGAGGGGGGGAGGAGGAGGGAGGAGGAGGGAGGAGGGTTTCGGATTCGGATTTGGAACGGTGGCGTAGCAGCATCAACTGGACTGGATACTTGGGAGCTAAACCGCGCTTCACACGACTCAGGTATTCCCGTCCCTTCTTAGTCATAGCGCTGGGGCCGCATGGCTTACAACAGAGCTCTCAACTGCTGCTGCCCGAAGTTGCAACACGAAATGCAACTTATCAAGCGCAACCTTGGTATGGAAACGCATGCAGTTCTCACTGTAAACCCATCCTCCTCATATGCACCCGATCCTGGGGGGGGGGGAGGCTGAAGGACGTTCCCTGTAGAAGGCACGAGAGGGCGGCATTCGGTGTCTAGCCTAAGCGTGCGGCCTGCCTTGGTGCAGCTGTGGTAGTCCCTCGGACAGGACTGGCTGTCGACTGATAGCACGTGCTCGGAGGAGAACAGGGGCGGGGGCAGCATCAGCAGTAGCAGGACCATAACGTCTGTTCTCAATCTGCCTCTTGCGATCGGCGCCGATTACCTCGGTGGTAGACCTCATTTATCGTTTTCTGATCAGTGCCGCCTTCCTTCTCAACGTCATGGACCTGGAACCTCTGGGCCTCAGTAACCCGCAAATCCTCGGCCATAGCACCACCGATATATTCTGCCATGATACTACCTGCCACCATCCATCCTGCAACCTTCTTCCTGACAACATCCTGATGAGAGAGATGGTAAGGAACTTGATTCACACCACCTTTCTCGTGAGAGCGATCGACCATCAGCTGGCCGACGACACTCGTCGTAGTGCGAAACGAAGGCGAGACACCGTAACGTGATGATAAACGCGAGGAGTTCTCCTCGGGGAACAATTCGAATGGTACTTGGGAGGGGAGCCGAGATGTAGGTGGAGGCGAGGGTGGGAATGGTCGATCTTGACGACGAAATGCGCCACCCTTCGACGCCTGGGATCACGACTATCAGGGCCGCCTGAGGCGTCCCGACAAACGTACATAGGACCTTGCCATGTGCCATGCCCGAGACAGCCATCCCCGAGGGAGTCGATGGCTTTGAGACTCCAGCGTTCCACGCTGGTGGGCGGGCCGACTGCGGTCCAGCTTTTCGGGATCATGCCGCGATGTCAAAAACAAGCGTGAGCGTCTCATTGGGAAGCAGCCTGAGTGAAGAGATCGTTAGACGTGTCGTATAATCCATGCCCGCAGCTACTCGAGCATAGCCAGTGACGGTGAACAGGGGGTTCGGGACCTTCAATACATCGATGATAAAGACTTTCGTCGGAGAATCATGCCTCCTTCTTCCCTGGACCCAAGACTGGCCCACAACTATGCTGAACAAAAGCTCTACCCGCTGCGGCCCCCGTGGGGCTTTCTGCAATTGCGTGAGAGTAGCCTGAGGCTGTGGTTATCTGCACCGTCCTCGAGGCCAGCGCCATTGACTTGACCTGCGGCTTGACGCCATTGGCGAGTCTGAAGAGCCTCCAGCAGCTCGAGCATCGTGCCGCGCGTCTGGTCTAAACTGACCAGGTCGTCAGTGGCAAACTTCCAAGTAACATCTGGAGAGATCCCGTCGCTAGAAGGCCCGTGCCACGGATCAGGAGAGACTGGGCCCCAACCGGTGAATGAGAGGTGATGTATCATAGCGGACAGAGGACCTCGTATATGCCTGGTGCGAACTTCGGGGCTGAGCGGCTTCATGTGTTGGTCGACAGACGGTCAAGATCCCCTGATGCCAGCACGGCAAGCGGGGAATAATTTCTATGCGTGCAGTCATTGACGCAAGCAACTGGCAGGCATACGAATGCCATGATTTTGACCTGGCGATCGTAGATCTAACACTGATGTGATACATCTGTCGCGTTTGTTAGCACCTGCAGCCGAAGCGAGACACCGCCGAAGTCCGAGGAGATGCGAACCGATAACCCAGTAAAACCGAGCCACGCACGACGCACCAGCCTGCCTGAGAGAAGGGAGGGGGGAGGAGAGAGGAGGGATTAAGTGGGGAGGGAGGAGGGATGGGGGATGAGGGAGGATGGAGGAGGGAGAAGGAGGAGGCGGAGGGCGAGGAGGAGGAGGAGAGAGAATGATGAGGAGGCGGAGGAGGAGGAAGAGGAGGAGGAGGAGGAAGCGGAGGAGGAGGAGGAGAGGAGGAGGAGGAGGAGGAGGAGGAAGAGAAGGAGGAGGAGAGGTGGAGGAGGAAGAGGAGGAGGAGGAGGAGGCGGAGGAGGAGGAACAAGATCAGGAGGATCGGGGCGGGAGGTGTACGTTTCGAGCCTTTTGGGGTCTCCTGGGGCGCCCTCGTCTCCACTGCTCGGTCCGCCTCGTCAGTCAAGTTCGGCAGCACCGATGGTCAGGTCCGGAGGGCGATTGTTTTCTTGAGGGGAGTGAGGAGGAGGAGGAGGAGGAGGAGGAGGAGGAGGAGGAGGAGGAGGAGGAGGAGGAGGAGGAGGAGGAGGAGGAGGAGGAGGAGGAGGAGGAGCAGCAAGATGGGCAGGATGCGGAGGGGAATGATGATGATGATGATGATGATGATGATGATGATGATGATGATGATGATGATGATGATGATGATGATGATGATGATGATGATGATGATGATGATGATGAGGAGGAGCAGGAGGAGGAGGAGGAGCAGGATGAGGAGGGGGATGATGATGATAATGATGATGATGGCGATGATGATGAGGATACTGCTGATGATGCTGCTGATGATGATGCTGCTGATGATGGTGATGCTGATGATGATGCGTCTGCTGATGATGCTGCTGATGATGCTGCTGCTGATGATGATGAGGAGGAGGAAGAGGAGGAGGTGGACGAGGAGGAGCTGGAGGAGGAGAAGGAGGAGCAGGAGGAGGAGGAGGAAGGAATGAAGAAAGGAAGGAAGGACGGACGGAGCGGAGGGAAGGAAGGAGGGAAGGAGGGAAGGAGGAGGAGGAGATAGGAGGAGGAGGAGGAGGAGGAGGAGGAGGAGGAGGAGGAGGAGGAGGAGGAGGAGGAGGAGGAGGAGGAGGAGGGAGGAGGGGGAGGAGGAGGAGGAGGAGGAGGAGGAGGAGGAGGAGGAGGAGGAGGAGGAGGAGGGGAACGAGGGAAGGAAAGGAAAGGAGGAGGAGGAGGAGAGGAGGAGGAAAGGAGGGAAGGAGGGAAGGAAGGAAGGAGGGGAGGAGGAGATAGAGGAGGAGGAGGAGGAGGAGGAGGAGGAGGAGGAGGAGGAGGGGAGAGGAGGGGAACGAGGAGGAGGAGGAGGAGGAGAGGAGGAGGAGGAGGAGGAGGAGGAGGAGGAGGAGGAGGAGGAGGGAACGAGGAGGAATAGGCGGGAGGAGGGAAGGAGGAGGAGGGGGAGAAGGAGCAGGATGACGAGGAGAGAGGAGGAGGAGGAGGATAATGAGGAGGAGGAGGAGGAGGAGAGGAGGAGGCTGAGGAGGATGAGGATGATGTGGATGATGATGATGATGATGCTGATGCGCTGATGATGATGATGATGAGCGAGGAGGAGGAGGAGGAGAGGAGGAGGAGAGGAGGAGGAGGAGGAGGAGGAGGAAGAGGAGGAGGAGGAGGAGGAGGAGAAGGAGGAGGAAGGGGAGGGAGGAGGACGAGGAGAAAGGAGAGAGAAGGAGAGAGGAGGGAGGAGGGAGGAGGAGGATAAAGGAGAGAGGAGGAGCCCCCTCCCCAGTCTGTCTCTCCCCCATCCTCCCTCTCCCCTCCCTCTCTCCGTTTTTCCTTGCTTTTCTTTTTTACCCCCCTCCTTTTTCCCTCTCATACTGTCAGTCCTCCTCCTCTTTCTTTGGCTCCCTCTCCTCACGCATCCCCTCTTCTGGATCCTCCTGCTGGCTCCGAGGTGCAAAGAGCCGTCCAGCGCCCGAGCGGCGCAGAAGACCGACGTCAGCGGCGGCAACGCGGTACTGCGGATCCGCGTGGACAGGCTCGAGGAGGCTGCTCCGGCTGCTCCTCCCCCTCCTCGGCCTCCCCTTGCCCTCTCCTCCCTCTCCTTCTCCTCGTCCCCGTCCCTTCTCCGCCCCGTCTCCTCCTCTTCCTCCCCCTCGCCTGCCGTTGGGGGAGGTGGAAGGAGGTGCTAGTCCCCATGGCCCGTCCCTCCTTCCCCTTCGGGTGTTGCTAGAAGTACGTGCCCCTGGCCCAAGGTACCCCCAGGATTCTCGGGGTGGCCCAGGCGGCCTCCAGGGCACCCCTCACGAGGCCCAGAGGACCCCAGGGGCTCCAAAATGGAGCGAGCTGGGGGCACCTTGGGCCGGGTGCACTTCTGGCAACACCCGGCCCATGACGGGGGTACAGTCGGGCTCCTGAAGAAGGAATCCTTTTCGTTTGGAAGGGGCTCCGCGTTCCTTGAGTGTTTCACAGCTTGCCTCAGGCTTCCCTTATGTTTTCGACAGGAAATCGAAGGTTAGCTCATGGGAAAAACGGGGCCTCGTTCCTTATTTGGGGTGCCTTAGGCCAACGCCCCGACTGCAGAGGGTGGCCGGGGGGGGGGGACTTCGAGGCGGCCGCGCGCCGCCTCGGCACGGGTGCCTCTTTGCAGCGCGCTGCGCGCTGCGAGCGGCGGGGCTGCCCTGCCGACGGGGCAGCGCGACCCTCGGGCTGTGAGGTCCCAACCTGCTGTAGCCCAGGGCTCGACCTAAACGGTCTTCTCCTACTTTTCCCCATCTGTTTCCGTTTTACTTTTGTTCCCAACCATCCTGTGGTGTTGGGTCCTCGTTTTGAAGAGACAGCGCCCCGCGTCTCACCTCCCGCTGCCCTCCTCTCTTCTCCCATCATCGTCATCATCATCATCATCGTCATCATCACCACTAGCATCATCATCGTCATCATCATCGCCATGGCCATTAGTTTCCAACCATCCTGTGGTGTTCGCATGGCGGCCCCGCCCCATTCTGGCGCACCCCTCACGAGGATCGTGGCCCCATAGGGAGCTCCACCGAAGGCCCCAGTGGCAGGGTTCGCATGGCGGCCCCGCCCCATGTCGGCGCACCCCTCACACGGTTCGTGGCCCCATAGGGAGCTCCACCAAAGGCGCCAGTGGCAGGGTTCGCTTGGCGGCCCCGCCCCTTTTCGGCACACCCCTCACACGGTTCGTGGCCCCATAGGGAGCTCCACCGAAGGCCCAGTGGCTGCGTTCGCATGGCGGGCCCCGCCCCATTCTGGCGCACCCCTCACACGGTTCGTGGCCCCATAGGGAGCTCCACCGAAGGCCCCAGTGGCTGCGTTCGCATGGCGGCCCCGCCCCATTCTGGCGCACCCCTCACAGGTTCGTGGCCCCATAGGGAGCTCCACCGAAGGCCCCAGTGGCTGCGTTCGCATGGCGGCCCCGCCCCATTCGCATGGCGCACCCCTCACACGGTTCGTGGCCCCATAGGGAGCTCCACCGAAGGCCCCAGTGGCTGCGTTCGCATGGCGGCCCCGCCCCATTCTGGCGCACCCCTCACACGGTTCGTGGCCCCATAGGGAGCTCCACCGAGGGCCCCAGTGGCAGGCTTCGCATGGCGGCCCCGCCCCAATCTGGCGCACCCCGCACGAGGATCGCGGCCCCATAGGGAGCTCCACCGAAGGCCCCAGTGGCAGGGTTCGCATGGCGACCCCGCCCCATGTCGGCGCACCCCTCACGAGGATCGTGGCCCTGTGGGGAGCTCCACCGAGGGCGCCAGTGGCAGGGTTCGCATGGCGGCCCCGCCCCATGTCGGCGCACCCCTCACGAGAATCGTGGCCCCATAGGAAGCTCCACCGAAGGCGCCAGTGGCAGGGTTCGCTTGGCGGCCCCGCCCCTTTTCGGCACACCCCTCACACGGTTCGTGACCTCATAGGGAGCTTCACCGAAGGCGCCAGTGGCAGGGTTCGCATGACGGCCCCGCCCCATGTCGGCACACCCCTCACGAGGATCGGAGTAATCATTTTTTGTCAGAGCTCCAGGGCCCGAAGGCGGACCCAGGGGGCCGAGATCGAAGGCCAGAGGCGAGCCCACACAGCGCTTGAGCGAGCCCAGATCTAGCTGGGAACGGGAAAGAGGGTCCCCTCCCCCTCCTCCTCCTTTCCCTCCTACTCGCTTCCTTCTCTTTGTTGCCCGCGCGCAGCATCATTGTCCATGCTTGTTGAGTCCACTTAGCTGTGAAGCCATCCATTGCAAAGAATCCGAACCATCGCGGCGTGTGGCTTGCCCCGACCGGTGTCTAGGATTCTTGAGCGACGGGTGTCCTCATGGCCTCTCCACCAGTACACACGGACTCATAAAGCCATGAACATTGATGTTCGCTTGTCGGGGATCCCTCGCCGCCGCCGCCGCAGTCGTCGTCGTCGCCGCCGTCGTCGTCTGGCCCCTATCTGCTTATGGCCCCTGCTGCATGTCCTCCTCATCCCCCCCCTGCTCCTCCTCCGATCTGTCGACCGTAGCCGTTTTGGCTGAAAATTCAGATCGCATTCGTGCAAATTACATCACTCGCGCGCAGACCCATTCACACTCAGACTCACTCGCGCTCTGACTCACCTGCGTTCATTCTCTCGTAATCAGACCCATCGTATTCCTTTGCGTTGTGTGCCCCGCCACATTTCGGCACCCCCCTCGTACGGTTCTGGGCTCTATGGGGAGCGCCACCGAAGAAGATACTCACAATTGCGGTACTCACAACTGCATATGGTTGGGTCCTTCGCCAGGATAATTTTTCGTTGTGAACGCGTTTCGAAACACGTTTTCACATGCTCTGAACGCCGGGCGTCGCGCCCATGCTCACCATAAATAGTTTCGAGCACCAGCAGAGAAGAACCGGAACGCGAGGGCTTTCACGTCTCGGGCCCCGGGAGACACTCGCCCGGCACTGCTTCGACGCGCTTTCGACACCCTTTCAGTACTTCTCTGGGTGCTCCATGGGAGCAGCCGAACCTTCGGGCCGTCTTGGGGAGCGTTCGCCCCATGCGGCCCCTTGGCGAAGAGACACGGGGGCCCGCGTCCGCATCCACCGGGGGGGTCCGAGTGCGCGGGCGCACAGTGCGGGCAGTATTTATATCCATATCCAGAGCGTCGCGGACTTTTTGGGAAGAGGTGCCGCAACGCCGAGGCGCACCGGATATGGATAAAATCGAGCCTCTTGGGGCCAGATTTTTATCCATATCCAGTGCGTCTACGGTTTCTGGGTAAGAGAGCCCAAGACTCCAAAACGCACTGGATGTGGATATAACTATTGCCCGCGCACAGGCTCAGACCAAGAGCCCCTGCGGCCCTGTCTCCGTGCCCTCGTCCTGCCGCGTGCCTCGCTGCTGCCTGCCCGCCAGCCTGCCGCCTGCCTCGCCGCCTCACGTGGCCTCGCCATTTCAAGGGGCGGCTGCGAAGTGCGACGCCGTCGCCGCTTTCGAGGGCTGCCGGTGGGCCAGTGGAGTGACGCCTTGTGCAGACTCGGACTCGGCCTCGCCATCTTTGGGGGGGCTGCGATCGGCGAAATTGTCACCACTTCCGGAGGCTGCAGGGGGGTCATGCGGAGTGGCGCCATGCGCGGATCCAGATTAATCCTCGCAGTCCTTGGGGAACGTTGATCGGCGAAGGTGCCGCCATTTTCGAGTGCTGCTGGGTGGTCAGCGGAGTGTGGCGCTTCATGCAGATTTTGATTCGACCTCGCCGTTCTTGGGGGGCTGCGAAGTGGAGATTGTCGTCAGTTTGGAGGGCTGTTGGTGGGTCCAGCGGAGTGACGCCGTACGCAGATTAAGATGCGCCCTCGCACTCCCTTGGGGGCGGCGAGCTGCAAAGCTGTCGCTGTTTTCGAGGGGGGGGGGGTCTAACGGAGTGACGCCCTGCGCAGATTCAGATTCGACTTCGTCGTCATGGGAGGGTGCGAATTGCGAAATTGTCGCCACGTTCGAGAGCTGCTGGGGGGCCCAGCTGAGTGTGACGCCTTATCCAGATTCAGATAAGACCTCGCCGTCCCTGGGAAGCTGCGAGCTGCGAGACTGTCGCTATTTTCCGAGGGTTGCCGGGGGGCCCAGCGGAGTGTGACGCCTTACGCAGATACATATTGGAACTCGCTGTCCTGGGCGGGCTTCGGACTGCGAACCGCCACCACATTGGAGGGCTGCTGTGGTGTCCACAGGAGTGAGGTCTCACGCAGACTCATCATGCCGAGGTCCTGACGTCCACGGTCTGCCACGGCCAGACCATGATGCACTTGGGAGTCATTGTCGACGCCGGGGTCCAGGTCGAGAGTTGCATCGACGACCTTTGGCTGCCTATCCACGCGAGGCAATCCAAGGCGACGACGGTCGACAATTTGCTGATGATGTTCGGCCCCGGCTTTAGTGCCGTTGCCCGTTGGCCAACCGCAGACTTGGCGGCGTGCTTACGGGCGTTTTAGTTCCCGCGCTCACAGGTCCAGAAGGGAGGCGGAGGAACTGGCGTGCATGTCAGGCTTCGTTTGCCTGTTGCACCCGCTATATCTGGTCACGTTGAGCGCAAAAACGACATTGCGGTGGCCGCGCTGCGTGTCCAGCGTGCCTTCGGACAACAACGTTTCCCTCTTTCCGCTGCCTGTTTCGTTGTCGTCCTCTTCCTCCTTCCACCGTCCTTCCTGCTGCTGCAGCGCTGACATTTCGATCCCGCTCGCGCCCTTCTCCCTCTCTATGGCCCCTCGTTCCTGCCCATGCCTGGGGCCTCAATCCATGTCCTTCTGTTGCAGTCGAATAAGTAGTTTAGCGAACGCGTTTCCCATATAGTTCACACGACAAAGTATGGGGCCTCCACTGTCGGTGTCCTGGCACACCAGGGCCACATTTTTATCATGTGATACAAATTGGTGGAGTACGTCGCGAGAGAATTCGTGTCTGTATTGCCCCTTTCAATATCGTGTTTTCGGAACTTGGGCCCCTGTCCCATGTTTTGCTGGGCCCAATTTCGACCGTCGAAGCTTAGAGGGCTCATCAGTCGCCCGGCAGATGGGGCGTTGGCCGACTTCCGTGGACAGCCGATCCAATCTTTCCCGCCCCTTATTGTTCCCCGCCGCATCTTTTGTGCACATACGGTGCTGAAAGAGACGTTCGCCGACCCCGCATCGGGATGTATTCCGCCACTAAAGCTTGTAGTTGACTGGAAATGCGTAATTGTCAAGGACAGGCAATGTCAGACCACATGCCGGTACAAGTTTGCACGAAAAAAGGGGGGCCGTGTGGCGCAGGTGTTGTTGCGCGTGGGCGCAGCAAACGAATGATGGTTGTCTGCGCGTACGGTGCATGTGTATCACAAGGTGCAGGTTGCATTTGCCCGAGGCTTTCCGGAGTTATTGAGGAAACTACCGGACAGACTGCAAGCTATACGTTGTAGCGTGGTCGCGTGCTGCATACATTGCCTCAGTGTGGTTCCGATTTGCAGTTTTATTTTAGTTTGTTTTGTGGGCCCGCATACGGCCAGCAGTGGACCATTCGACTTTGCCCTCCCCAACCTGCCCCGCCCCTCGGCTGCTCATCCTTGTTTCTCTCGTGTCCAAGCCACGTATACTTATCTCGGGCGGCCCGAACATGATCCATATTCATTGAATTACGCCGCACCGCCGACCGCTTTGGGGACCTTGGGTGCCACTCTTTTGGCTGGGCGTTGTCGTAGAAGCGTGTTGGCGCGGTGCGTCCGTTCAAAAGACGCAACACCATGCCCAGCATGAACTGTGTTGGGTCATATTGGGGCGTTTTCGGTGTCGTTTGTTTTTTTGGAAGGCCGCTTGCGGGTTTCTTAGGCCTTGTTGGTTTGGACGGGATGTCAGTTAGAGTTTCCCCTCTTGGGCTGTCTTGTTTTTTTTGATGGGGGCTCTTCTAGGCCGTCTGCGCTGCCTTGGGGCCTTGCTGGCCATTTCCAGACGGTTTGCAGGCTTCGGGGGTTTGCGTGAAGGTTGTGAAGACCGACGACTCGAGTACGTATGTTAAGCATCTGCGATATCCTCATGGACGTGGGGCGATTTATTGTTTTCGGGGCCATGTTGGGGGTCCAGTTGCAGCGCTTTCGGGGCGTATTGGGGGTTGTTGGGGGTGTTTGGGAACCACCTTGGGACGAGTTGGGGCCATTCGAAGCCATCAGTGGCCGTCTGGGAGCACCCTTGAAGTAGATGAGACCGTGGCCCCGTTCTCCCCATTTTTCCCCCCTTGCCCGCCCACACTGGCTGGACCGGGTTCCCGGGGGGGGGGAGGGGCAACAGTTTCACACGCCGAGGAGAGGGGTCGGCGAATGTGTCAAGCATGGCGTGGGGTCGGGGGTGGGGGTTGGCATTGACCCTGGTTAGGGTTGGGGAGGGTGCGCGTCCTATCTAGTGGCCTTAGGTCCATCCCGCCACTGCGCAGTGCCAGGGTATGTTGGGATACCTCTCGGGGGCCTCGGGGCCTCTTTGGGGCGCCTCGGGGGCCTCTGGGAGGCTCTTGGGCCAATCTTGGGGACGAGGGCTCGTTATGTCTGTTCAGGTTCCCCCTTTGGGCCCTCTCTTTGGGTTGTTTTGGGGCCCTGTAGGAGGCGTCCTTGGCCGTCGTGGAGCAATCTCGGGGGCCTCTTGGGTCGTCTTGGAGCGTCGGGGAGCCGAAAAGGCGAGAAGACTAACGTCTGTCACACACCTACGTGGAAATCAATGTTTGTTGCCTCTGGGGGCCTTCTTGGGAAGCCTTTTGCAGGCCTCCTGGGGCGTCTTGGATGCGTCTCGGACCGTCTGGAGGCCATCCGGAGCTGCTTGTAACGGTTTTTCGGTGATTCGGAGCCCTCTTGGACGGTCTTGGGGGCCTCCTGGGGCCCTCTTGGCTCGTCTTGGAGTCCTCTTGGCTCCGAACAAGTCGCGCGAGAAGACGCGGGTGAGCGCAGGATGCGCGCGGGAAGCCCTAGTAGATTTGAGAGCTAAGTGTCTGGTCACCTTGAAGAATCCTTAGGATTGAGGATTGAGCTCAGAGGATGAGGCAAAGGACCCGAGGACACCAACTCCTGCCGCAGGGCAGGTGGCGGATTAAGGAGCAGTGATAACCGCCTCACGGAGTAGGGGAAGAGGGGGTTTGGGAAGAGGGAGTATAAGAATCGTTATACCATCTGCGCCCAGAGGACTGGTGAGATCTTCGTGGATAAGCCCAACATTTGAGCACCCCCGATCTCCTGGTTATTCCTTGTCCCCCTCCCGGTCCTCCTCCCCCCTCGTCGACGAGGGCCGCCTGGGCATCACCCTGGACGAGCACCTCGTGCTGACGGGCGTCGACAGGCCCGACGCGAGGGCGCTCGGGTGGCGGGTGGGCGACGTGATACTGAAGGCGCGCAGGACTCCAGCCTCGGGGGGAGGATCGAGGACCAAAGATCTCCCGGTGGCTTTGGAGCCCCCCCGAGGCTCCTCGGGTCTGGGACTCCAGGGGCCAGAGCTCGGAGACCTCCGGGGACTTACAACCTAGCTACTATCATTGGTGGTCCCCAAACGTGGTGGTGAGAACACCCGGTGGTGAGTTTTGGGCGATTTGGGTAATGGTTTTCGAGCGCTGGCTGGCCCAGGAAACGCAAAAACTCGTGGCGACCGCGTGTCCCCAAACCCGGTGGTGACCCAGAATTATTTTTGTTGGGGAATCGGGGTCACCACCAGGTGTCTCACCACCTGGTTTGGAGACCACCAATATCATGAATTCGGGGCAGTCTCACGAGCGGGCCTGAGGTGTTTCCGCTGCGACTCCAGTCGCACACGGAGCTGTGGCGGGAGGCACGCTGGCGCACCGCTCTGCCGTCCTCCCCCCGCCCTTCCTCTTTCCTCCTGGAGGCGAACGGCGAGAGGGTGCGGAACAGGGACGAGCTCCGCCGGCTGATGCAGAACACGGTCCCGCCACTGTTCTTCGAGGTAGTGCGCCTGGCCGGTTCCACCGCCGCCGGAGTAGGACCTCTTCCTCCCGTCGGCGCTCCCATGCGAGCTGCGTGTGCTGGTCTCCTTGCCCCTCCTCCTCCTCCTCCTCCTTCTCCTCCTCCAACGCCGTGCATCATCGAGGATAAAAGGACCTCTAACCCAGATAACACGATGAGGACGCAGCCTCACTGAGGTCCCCGTCTTGGCTTCAGGGATCATAAATTTGGTGGTTCGGTTCGATACATCTGCAGAACAGACCCAATCCCTAATGTTTTTGGCCCTCCTAACTTAGGTCCCCTTGCACAGGGTTAGCGGTCCTTCTGTTGCTAATCAGTCCAGCCGATTGGTGCTCGGTTTGACGAAGTACGCACATCTTGCTCCGGGCTGGATTCTGAAAGCGATCGGGGCCTCACGCCTGTGGGGGCCGCGCCGAGCATCCGTCCATACCCTCCGTCTTCGACGCACTGTATGTGTCACGTCGCTGAATCGTCGTTTCGTGACGATGTGCATCGAAGAACAAAACCGTCATAAACAAAACTTTTGGCGCTCCGCGTGGATTTCTTGGATCCGCGCTGGCCCCCCCCCCGCGGCGCCTCCAGCGCCGCCCCTGGCGCGCTCCGCGCGCCAGGGAGGGGGGTCCAGCGCAGATCCAAGAAATCCGCGCAGAGCGCCAACAGTTTATGTTCATGCCGTTTTTCTTTTTCTAGTGTAGTCTCAAATCGGGCCTGTCCCTCTACAAAGGGAATCTTCCAACATAGCAAAAAATAGTATGGGGACAATTGTTTGACATTTTGTTTGACATTTTTTTTAGAGGGTATATTTGTTTAAACGGTTTTTTTTTCATTGTTCGTCGAAAATCTGCCTGTGGGGGGCCATGCCCGACCTGAGTGTAGCCAGCATTCTTTTTGGCTTGGCCTGGCACCGCTCCGCCGCTTCCTCCTCCCCCTCCCCGGATCTCTGTCGATCTGTCTCTCCGACCTGGCGCTCGCTGTCTGCGTGGCTGTCTGTCATCTACCGCTGCCCTTGCTGCCTGTCAGTTCGCAGTGCCCGATGAGCCTGTTTTCCACTACCACCGCCACCGGAAGTTGGAGGAGGAGGAGGATGAGGAGGACCCCCCCTCCAACATATGGTAGTGGTCGTGGAAGACAGGCCCAGCCATGCCGTCGCCCGGCTCGCCCGAGCGCGTGTGCGGCCTGCCTTTGCCGCGCTGCGACGTAGAGTAATCTGTGAATCGCTCCGCTCATCCCGCAAGCCCAGCGTGCCTCGCCACCGTCCTTCTCTCGGGGGGTTGTTGTCGATGCGGTGCCGTTGGGTGGCCGCCGTTTTTCGGAGGCGGCGGGTCGTGGGTGAGAGGCCTCGTGGATGCTGGTTGAGCTCTCGCGGTTGGCCTCTCGGGGGCTCTGGGGCCTCTTTGGGGGCCGTGTTGGGGCCTCCTGGGGCCTGTTGGGGGCCTCCATGAGCCTCTTGGGAGGCTCTTGGGGGCTTCTTCTCTTGGGGGCCCCTTGGGGCCTCCGGGGTGCCTCTTGAGGCCGAGGGCTCGAAGTGTGCGTTCGGGATCCCCGTCTGGCCCTCTCTTGGGGCCGTCCTGGGGATACCTTGGGCCGTCTTGGAGGCCTCTTGGGCCGTGTTGGGGCCCTCTTCGGACCTCTTGGGGTGCTCTTGGAGGCCTCTTGGGCCGTCTCGGTGCGATCTGTGGGGCCTCTTGCGCCGTTTTGGAGCGTCGGGAAGCCGAACAGATGAGAACGCCCAAATCTTTCAAAACCGGGAACAAATCTGTGTTTTTTTGCCTCCTGGTGCCCTCTTGAGGCGCTTCTTCGAGGCCTCTTTGGGCGTGCGGGGGCGTCTGCGGCCGTGTGGAGGCTATCTTGGGCGTCTTGAAACGATCGGTCGGCGACTCGGAGCCCTCTTGGACCGTCTTGGGGACTCTTGGGGCCCTCCAGGATCGCTCGGGGGCGCCTGAAAGCCGCGTCCAGAAGGAACACTCATCTCTGCGTAGTACCGGCCGGGGTACTTTTCGTCCGGGAACTCCCAGGGGCCGTCCGCGCGCGCGAGCTAGAAACAGTGTTTACCAGTAGCCAGAGATCTTAGTATGCCTCTGGCCCGTTGGGCCGGCGAATTTACAAATTCTGGCCGTCGGGAGCCCTTCTCGCACCCCATGGCAGAGAACGACGCGGGACGTAAAGCTAGTCCTTGGGATGTTGTCGAGAGTTTTCAAGGCTGTATTCTAACAAAACCACAACAACCACTTCGTCAAGAAGGGTCAGCGAGTTCCAAACATCTGCAGTCGGGCCTCTAAAGGAAACGTTCGAGCAAGTCCCACAACAAAGGAGGAGGAGGAGGAGGAAAGCAGAGACATAAGCGGCAGTGAAAGGACGCCCAACCCAACATATGCATTCTCCACCCTGGACTCGCCACTGATCAGGAGGCGATGGTATGGCGGGTGCCCAAGACATGCACAGTCAGCAAACAAAGTGTGCCCCAAACCTCAGTCACTTCATCTCTTAGGGCACCCCCGTGAGAGCGTGTGCGCATTTATCTCAGGGCAGGCTCCATTAGCTCATTGCTTATTTGGGGACCACACCCTTCTCAAACATAAGCCTCCTGGCTCTCCCTGGCTGCTAACTCCCAAGCTTGTTGGGACACTCTGGGAATGTCTCCGACACTGCGAGTATGCAATGCAAACTCAGACTCATAAGTATATGGCTGCCACATGATGCGAAGCGTATCCCCACCGAGCAGAAGCAAGAGGGGGACACAGGGCAACTCTTGACTCCTCGCGTATCCACACCAGCCCATCCAAAAACAGACATCTGGCGTGTTGTCTTGTTCAGGGATGTGTAGCAGCATGTGGCCCGGCAGTGAACCGCGTCCGTCTTCGCACATATTCTGGAGAAAATCGATGAGAAGCAAGCGGAAAACGACAGGCAACCACTCATCTCAGGCAGCGCCGCGGGAAGCGTTTGCCCTGTACCATCGACAACGACAGCGACGACGGAACGACGACGACGACGACAACGATGACGGAACGGCGACGACGACAACGACGACGGAACGGCGACGACGACGACGACCAAGACGACGACGACGACGACGACGACGACGACGACGACGACGACGACGACGACGACGACGACGACGACGACGACGACGACGACGACGACGACGACGACGACGACGACGACGACGACGACGACGACGACGACGACGACGACGACGACGACGACGACGACGACGACGACGACGACGACGACGACGACGACGACGACGACGACGACGACGACGACGACGACGACGACGACGACGACGACGACGACGACGACGACGACGACGACGACGACGACGACGACGACGACGACGACGACGAGAGTCAACATCAATACTTTTGCGATGTTTTGTTCTGGGAGCGCCATGGAGGTCTCCTGGGGCCATCCTGGAGGCCTCTTTGGCTCATGTTGGGGCCCTCACGAAGCCTTCTTGGGGCTCTTTTGGGGCTTTCTTTGAGGGTGCTTCTCGTGGCCATGTTGGAGGCCATCGAACAAAGGGGGGAGTGACGTAGATAGGGGATCCCCGTCTGGGCACGACCAATCGCGTTTTGGGGCCCTCTTGGGCCGCTCTTTGGGTAGTCTTGGAGGCTCTTGGAGCCGTTGTTGGGCCTCTCTTGGGCCCTCTTGGCATCTTGGGTCTTCTTGGAGCCACCTTGAGGCCTCTGGAGCGCATCGGGAGAGAAAGGGCGAGACGCCACCAAGCAATGGCAAACACAGTGGTTTTGAAGTTTGAAGGTGCTTGCCTCCTGGGGGCCTCTTTGGGAAGCTTGGAGGGCAGTTGGGGCCGTCCTTGGGCCATGTAGCGGGCTCTTGATGGCATGTTGGAGGCGACCCTCTTGGAGCCACCTGGGGCCCAGACCGGACCACGTGACTCCTCGCGCGGGAAGGGGGGAGGGTTCCAGACCCTGAGGGAGGGGTTCGGCCCAGAGGGGGATGAGGGGGTTGGCAGAGCGAACTCCTAGTCCACACGTGCCCTGACGGGCTGATGGGATCCGTCCTTCCTTCGATCACCTCCTGCGCTAACCATCAGGACTGCTCGGGGCATCCGTGCTGGAGCGTGGGCACGCTTCACCGGCTCGACGCTCATGGAGAGGTCCCCGTGTCCCAGTCCTGGATGGCGAAGCGGCCCTCTGGCCCTCGGTGGCGGCACGTGCCCGCACAACTTGTGTGGACACGCTGGAAGCACTCGGAGGTCCGAGGCCTCGTTCTCACGCCTCTTTCGCATCCTGAACACGTCAAGGCAGCATTCTGTCTCGGTGTTCGGTCTCAGGGTGCCCTTTATCTGCCCTGTCGCCAGCAAGGGAGTCCAGGATGAGGCGATGCTCCGAAGCATGCGAGAAGGGCTCTTTAGACGCCACGCTTGCCTCCGTTGGAACTCCGCTGAAAATCATGTTTATCTTCCCTGCCTCCTTCAAATGGGACGCCGGTATCGGCGCCGATGACGATGATGACAGTCAGGATAACGATGGCGATACAGATGATGATGATGATTATGATGATGATGACGATGATGATGATGATGATGATGATGATGATGATGATGGTGATGGTGATGGTGATGATGATTATGATGCTGATGGTGGTGATGGTGATACTGCTGCTGATGATGATGATGCTGATGATGATGATGACCATGACGATGGTGATGACGATAATGACGACGATGACGACGATCATCATCATGATCATGATGCTAGTTATGATTATGACGTTGATGATGCTGATGATGAGGAGGGTGATGATGAGTATGGTAATGATGTTGTTGATCATGCCGATGCGGATGACGAGCGAGACGACGACGATGGCGATGGTGATGGTGATGGCGAGTGTGTTGATGATCATGATGATCTTGTTTATGATGACGACGATGAAGGTAATGCTGTTGTTAATGATGATGCTGCTGTTGATGCTGCTGCTATTGTTGATGCTGCTGTTGATGCTGCTGCTATTAATGATGATGCTGCTGTTGATGCTGCTGCTATTGATGGTGATGCTGATTACGATGATGATGAGTATGACTCTCATGATTCTGACGGTTCTGATGATGATGACGACGGAGATGACCATTGTGAGGAGGAGGAGGAGGCTCAAGTTGGTTTGACAACTGTTCGGCCTTGTCGGGCCTCTGGGGGCCCCCGGAGGCCCTGTGGCCGACGGGCAGGAACCCGTACAAACACTCGACATGGGGTCATCAGTTTGCGAGCTATGCAGTTTCGGAGCCGGTCTTCAGAGAAGTTCAGGTCGGCCCCACGCGTGGCAAAATTCACATGCATATCCAGTGTGTTTCCATCTCTATATGCACTCGTGGTTTTTGCTGGTGTAGTAGTATTTTGCTGTTGTGTGTGTAGACGCGTGCATACTGTTTTCCAATGGTCATTCGTATCTTCACATAGTCGGGACTCTTCCATCTTGTAATGTCTGTCATTTCGTATGTTCTGACATGGGTGCGCGCACATTCTCAGTGCGTGTCCGTTTGGTGGTTCCAGTTATATTGTCCACAAAGCGATGGGAAATTTTGAGTGGAAGAAGCGGCTGGGATTGCTGAACAGACACCTCTTGAGTGTATGACAGTTGGGGCGAAACGATTTTGTCTTGAGGTAGACGGGGAAGTGGAGCTTGAGTTGGCGAAGCGGTCGGTGTCGACGAACAGGCGACTTCTGCTGCGCGTTGTCCCTAGGCGGATGTTTTGTGTGAGACATTCTCTCAACTGGAACATCGGGGGAGTTGTTTGTCAAAGAGTGCGTCTTGAGCTCCAAGACGGGTCAAAATAGTGGCCCATGGGGCCTCCAATATGGTTCCAAAATAGCTTCCGCATGAGACGTCTTCCCCACCATAGAGATTTCAAAGACGTCGTGGTTGAAAGCTTGGCCTCTTGGCTTTAAGAGAGGGGTTTAATCGGGCTCGGAGAGGGCCTTAAGAGAGCCGACGCAGGGCCCCAGGATGCCTCCAAGATGATCCAGAACACCTCGGCTGGATTCTGATAGCAGAAGTTTTGCTTGAGACACTTTCCAACATTGAGATGCTTGTTTTGTGAATTAAGCAGTTTCATTTACATGTATAAGGGTATGTCACGATGGAAACAGAGCGTGATTGGGCAACTGCCCATGCGACCGGTTGATTAATGAAACATCTGTGCGGGAAGCGTCCTTGAAGATTTGCAGTCTAGCTGGACCTGATGACTTTTTCTACTGGCTGGCACGGCCTTCCCCTCTGAACAAACACTGGGGCAAGCGCGCCAGAATGTGATGTGCAGGTCCAGTCTGAAGATTTTCCTGTTGACCCGGGCACCTGGTAGTTTTTTGTTCGTCCACATATTCGGTTTATTCAAAAGGGGGTCAGCGAAAAGGGGGTGGTGCAGTAGATTTGGTGCAATAGATTTTGCGGGGTTTTGTCAGATTTGGGTTTTGCAATACATTTCCGGGCGCAAGTGAATTGCTGACTTTTCGCGCGCACTATATTAGTTGCAATACAATGCAATCCAACTCTTTGGCGCAGTACAATTCCTTGGCACAATACATCGTTGCAATACGATTGCCCAATATCTCTTGCACCACCCTCTTTCAGCTTGACCCCCTTTTGCGTCACGAGGGACGTATTTGCTGTCGTAATGAGATGACCCCCGTCCGCGGATGCACCCGCTCACACCCGTGGCGGAGCCAGATTATCGCGCTGGGCCCGTGCGCCTAACGGGTGGTATTGGAGCTTTCTCGCAGGGTCGACCGTCTCGACCCTCTCACCCATGACGCTCATTGGGGGCAAGGCATCACGCCTGGCATGGTAATGCGTGGATTTCTCCACGACGCTTTCGCTAATACTTGGTTAGTACGATCGCTGTTGTCATGTGTGTATATATATATATATCTATCTATCTATATATCTATATATCTATCTATCTATCTATCTATCTATCTATCTATCTATATCAGGGTATCTGTCTATATCTGTATATATTTATAGATCGATCGAGCTATCAAGATACACACATGCATACATATGTGTATCCTTTTTCAGGGTCAGGTGTGGCCAAGTGTGTTGTTTGACGATTCCACCCCACGATTGGATAGCGCGCACTCCTTCACACCCGAGCAGCCCATGGAATTTGCAGTCCAGCGCGTGCAGAAATATAGCTCTGTGAGCGGTGACAAAGCCGGTGACCCCGAGTAGTTGTGAATCAGTTCACAAGGCAAATGCATTTGGTTTCCAATGAGTTTGAGGCGCGTGCGCACATGTGGCCCGCCTGGTGTTGCTTCGTAGGGATCCGTTTGCTCGATTAGAGGAGTCTTCCTCCGCGGAATGCCATGTGCGCGGGAACGTGGCAAGGTCGGATGGAGCTTCGCGCCGACTGGTGTGGATTCGAACGTGGGATGGACGCTTGGCCCTTGATTCGCATGCGGGTCTGACGAGAAGATTCCCGGGTCGGATGCGGCCTATTTTGGTGTCCTAGTGCCCGGGTTTGAAGGAGATAATCGATATCACAGTGCTGTTTGTATAAGGTCTTTCGAGTAGAGTGGAGTAGTGTTGGCGGTTCCGATGGCGGCTCTTTCAACATATGCTAATGTATTGTGACATCGCTCTGTCCGTCTGTCTGTCTGCCTGCCTGCCTGTCTGCGTGGCTGTACACCTGTCTGTCTGCCTGCCTGTCTGTCTGTCTCTCTCTGTCTCTCTCTCTCTTCCTCTTCCTCTCTCTGCCCGTTCCCTTCTTGCTTTCCGCCCCCCCGTGCCCCCACGTGTGCGTCATCTCTCCTCGGGGGGGGGGGCTTCTCCTCCGAGTTCTCCCCGTCCTCCTCCGACCCCTCCCGGCCGCCCTGCAGGAGCCCCTGCCGCCCAAGGCCGCTCGGGCGGCGGCCTCCCCGGCGCCCCGCGGGAGAGCCCCGCTGCCGCCCGGCCGCCGCCCCCGATCCGGGCGCTGGCGGACGTCCGCGGGGGGCCGGGACGGGGGAGCCGGCATCGTCTCATTTTGGTCTCGCTCGGACGTTTTTTTTTTTTTTTTTTTTTTTTTTTCTTCTCGGCGGGGATCATGCAGGAGCATCCTGGATAATCCTGCGAAAAAGCCACGCGCGGAACCGAAAAACGCACAGGGAATGGACGTCCGAGCAACGGGGAGTGAACCGATCCCCATCCCCAGCCCCATCCCCTTTCGAGACCCCCACCAAATCACCCCCCAGTCGGGGAAGCACCCCTCGAAGCCCGAAGGGGACGACCCATGTCTCCATCCAGGGGGGTAGATCGGCCAGTGGGGCCCGGGCCACGCCGCTGGGGATGGGGATCGGTGAAACGATGCCCAGTGATCGGCCCAGGGCGTCCTGTCCTCGTCGCCCCCCATCCTCTGCCGGATTCCAGCATGGAGGTTGGGATCCCATAGGGAGGGCTCGGGGGTGGACAGAACCCCCAACAGTGACACGTCGATTAATGAATTATTCGTTTTCGGTTCTCGAGAGGGCGCCATGGTCGTTATTTTTCAGGCTTGCGCCCGCCAGGTTTGGGCCTCAGGTCGTTTTCACTAAACCACGTTTTACTAAAGGGAGGTCTGTTCATCCCCGAAGGGCAGATTCAGTCCTGAGGAGCCCAATGGCGGCGACCGTCACAGGATTTGGATGGACCCGCTGGGATTCCAACATGGAGGTGGGAACCCCTCGGGGAGGAGCTCCCGCTCGAGGCCTCCTCGTGATTCACTCCCCCACGAGGCTCCCGCTGGAGACCCTCAATATGAGTACGTATGTGTGTAGGTGAAGGAATGAGGGAGTTCAGGAGGGGAAAAACACACAGACATAATTAATCGTCGACTCCCGAGAAAATATGGGAAAATATGGGAAGTGGGGTGGAAGACAAAAACCCAGAAAATATGGGAACATATGGGGAATCCTGTTATTTGTATGTACTTATTCCATTTGTGTGTCCTTGGGCCCCTTGAGGAGTGTGTGAGGGAGTGCGCATGTGCGAACGTGTGAAATTGTGTCAGTCTGCGATGGCGACGATGGTACTCATGCTGATGCCGATGGTGCTGATGATGGTGGTGGTGGTCATGATGATGACGATGATGGTGATGACGATCCTGAGGCTTGTGATGATGCTGATGATGATGACGATGATGATAATGATGTTGACGGTGATGCTGATGATGCTGATGATGACGACGACGACGACGACGATGATGATGATGATGATGATGATGATGATGATGATGATGATGATGATGATGATGCTGATACGGACGACGATGACGGCGATGCTGATGACGATGATGATGGTGATGATGATGCTGAGAGTTCTGTTGACGATGCTGCAAATGGTGGTGTTGGTGTTTCTGCTGATGATGATGACGATTATGACGGTGATGATGCTGCTGATGATGACAAGGACCATGATACGGATGATGAGGATGATGATGATTATTATATGTATGCTGATGGTGCTGATGAGGCTGATGCCGATGATCATGACAATTATGATGCTGATGATGCTGCTGATAATGAGGATGATGATGCTGATGATGGTGATGATGGTGCTGCTGCTGCTGATGGTTATGATGATGATGGTGATGCTGATGATGATGATGATGATGATGATGATGATGATGATGATGATGATGATGATGATGATGATGATGATGATGGTGCTACTGCTGCTGCTGATGATGCTGATGCGGATGAGCATGGTGATACTAGTTTTACTAATACTATGGTTATTAATGATATTACAGCAATATCAGCAATGCTTAACACCACAACTAATCAATACTACTGATACTCGAGTACTATGCTTGTGTGTTCCTCTGGTCTTGCGCGGGGTGTCCAGAGAAAGCAAGAATCCAACTTAGGATGCCCGGGATAACCAAACACCGTCTACCACGCCTCATCGCGCCAAAGGACACGTTGACGGACTGGATTTTTCATTGTCCGTAGCCATTTTGGCTCAAGAGTGGCTCAAATGGGGCGAAAGTGGCTCAAGTTCAAGCCCTCCGTCCTCCAACAACCAGTCAGACCTTGATGGTGTTCGCGGGCGCGGGTAAACCGAGGGGTTTCCGGTTCTTTCGCTCGTAAACACAGCCATGGCGGGGCGCTGCCGGTTGTGCGCGGCCCGTGGCGTGGACGGCCCCGCTCTGCCAGGCGCGGACGTCTGCGCTGCACACTAGCAGTTCGGCGTCGCGGCAGCCTCCGCGGCAGCGGCTGAGGATTTGGACATGGGCGAGAAGGCCGGGGACTCGGGCCTCACCCAGGCCGCTGCCGCCTTGCGGCTGGCCGGAGTGCCCGCGCCGCCTGGACTTGGGCCTTCTGTAGCTGTTTGAACGCCGGGCGTGGCGTCGGTGGTCACAGGGCGGGGTCCGGGAGGTGGAGGTGGCCTTGGGCCAGCTGCTGTTCAGGATTTCTCGGACCACGAGTTGCACGGGCTAGGGGAGGAGAGGCTCTTGAAGCACGCGCTCGTCATCAGCGCGCTGGCCGCCGTTGGCACGGCGCCACAGGCCAGATTTGCCCGCTCCTTGTTGACAACCTGGGTTCAGCCCCGCACCCTCTTGGAGTTCCTCGCCTTCCGTTTTGACGCCAACGACCATTGGGCGCAGCTTGGCATGCACCCTCTGGAGGTGCCGCCCCCTTGACGCAGCATGCATGGACAGGAGGTGTTCTTCGGCTCTCGGCTGGCCCGAGGGAGATGTGAAATTGCCGACGCTGCACAGTCTGGGCTAGAGCGTGTGTGCGCCCTGTGTCTCGAAGGTCTGCCGAGCGCGCCGGCGAGAACGTGGTGATCCCTTACCGCGATGGCAGGAGCTGGGATCCACGGCCGTCGAGGTTCTTCAGAATACCCCAGGGGCTGTTGGGGGGCTCGTGGACACGCAGCTCTCCGAGATACTGCCGCTTCCGCGGGCTTTGCGGGATTCCGCGTGCCTGTTGTCTCCAGTCGCTGCTCGCTCCCTGTGCCAGCTGGCGGCGGAGGGCAAGGATTTCTTCCACTTCCATGGTTCCAGCGTCGTCGTGATGTAGGGCCCTGCCGATTCTATTGGGCAGCCAGACTCGGCAGCTTTGGGACGCTTGGTTTCCGGTTTCATGAGGCGCGCAGCTGCTGATCCGCAGCCTCGCCATCTACGGCTCCTCGCAACATTCGAGGTCTACCCGGGCTGCGCGACCGCCAGCATGATCAAGGACATATTCTGGCATCCGGTGATGGGCGAGCCACGGGTTCTCAGGTGATGGAGCAGGCTAAGCCTGCCCCCAGTGGATGAAAGTTCCATCCGCCAGGAGCTGCAGATAGTCACCTCTGGGCACGGGGGGCCAGTGAAGACGAGTAGGGGCCTCCTGATTACCGCGATCTCTCCGTCGGTGTCCGCGTCGATTCCCGAGGTCCTTTCGGTCGCCGAGCCGATCTTCTCTGCTGGTATTGGCAGGGCCTGTTTTAAAGCGTTTCTGCCCCCTGGCGGAACTGCTGACCTGGGCCCCGCGTTGTTCCTCAGGCATTTGCGGCGCTCTCGTCCCCGCCGCGGTTCGGTGGTGGTTTCCTGGCAGCTGTTCTCTGACAACAGTGCATTCCTCGTCGAACTTACTTATCGGGCCGCTCTGCGTGCAGCCTGGCATCTGTGCGAGGGGGCCGCGTGCGTCGAAGCCAAGATGGCCTCGATCCGCACCGCCGTGGACCCAGAACAGTGGAAGGCTGTGATGGGCCAGACGAGCGCGGAAGACCCTGCCAGCGCCATTCTGCGGGCCCGTTATCTCCCGTCTCGGCGGGGCCTACGGCCGCGGGCTTCGCTTGCCGCCGCCCCCTGGCAGCTCGCGGCCTTGGGTCGCGTCGGCGCCAGGTCGCGTCAACAGACCAGCGCCCCCGCCGTCTCGATTTCGACGGTCAACAGGTCCCTGGGGCACGACCCAGCTCGCATCATCAAGGGCCTCATGGCGGTGATTCGGGACCGCTCGGGGGCGAATTTGTTGGGGCAGGGCTCGGGGGCCGAGATGATCGACAGTTGGCGCCGCGTGGCGGGCGCCGACCCGTCCGCGCGCCCAGGCCAGGTTCGACTTTATCTGGGTTCAGTGAAGGGCGCCTGGGCCATCTTTCACGTCGTCAACGGTCGGGCCGCGCAGCTGGGGGGGGACCTGATTGGCGTCGGCGTCGCCGACGACGAGCTCGAGGCGCGGCGGGGAAGCGTCGACGGGGGCGGGGTCGCCAGGGCTCTGTCTCCGGAGAGGCGCGCCCAGGTGGAGCCCGGTGGGGTTGGACATTGCAGTCTACTTTGTGGCCTGCTGGCGGTTCTGGATGATGGACTTCGCCCTGCGCGCTCGTCGCGTTGACCATGGCGGCGCCCCTCTTTGCGTTCGCCTTCAGTCTCCTCATCTCCTGCGTGCTGGTGCTGCTCATCTCCGCGCTGGTCCCAGTGAGAGCGCTGCCCCTCCTGGCGGCGTCGCGGTCGACGCGTCCGCGGCGGCGCAGCTGCCATCGCTGCCGCCCGCGCGCCGGGCGCCGCGCCTCTGCGCCCGGCGCGTTCCCCGGCCTCCGCCCCTGCCGCCAGGGCCGCCGCGGTCGTCGGGCAGAGGGGGCCCCGCTGGCGATTGCCCCTTTCCGCGTGGAGCCCCAGGGGGCGGCTCGGGGTGCCGGGGCCTCTTCGCTCGGATGCTGCTCCGCCGCGTGGCCGGGGATCCGCGCGCGCGCCGCCTTCTCCGCGACCGTGATTTCGTGGTCCTGTCCGAGGCCCGCGGCCTGGAGGGCGAAGGCTTGGTGCGGGGTTGCCTGGGAGATGGCCGAGTTTGCTTCTCCCTGGGCACCTCGCGCAGGGCTGGAGACGGCGTCGCGGTCGAGTCGATCTCCCTCCAGCAGATGGACCCGGAGCTGACGTCTTGGGAGGAGCTGGTCCCCGGGAGGGCTGGGGTCCTTCATCGGTGGGGCCCGCGTGGCGTCCTTGATTTGCGCGTCGTGTATTTCTCTGCTGCGCAGCGCGCTTGCGGCGTCGTTCAGCCCCGCGGCGCCGTTGACCCGGGCCCCTCCGAAGCGCAGGTCGCCAGCAGAGGGAGGGCATGCGACGCCGCCATGTCGCAGCCGTGTCCCCATCGGGCTCGGTGCTGTCGATCGTCGCAGGCGACTTCAACTGGGCCCCGGGCGCGCAGGGACGCAGCGCCGAGACGGCCGCCGAGTGTGCCAGGCACCGGGATGCAGGCGACGAGCTCCGTCTCCAGTCGGTTCTGTCTCTGCCTCCCGGCGTGGCAGCGCTCCGGCAGCGGGCGATGGCGAGGGGAAGCGCCCTCTTGAGGTCTAGGCTCGACCGCGTTTGCTGGATTCAGCCCTTGGCCGAGCAGCTGGATCGTCGCATGTTTTGCGCTCCGCTGGCATGGGCCCCCCACTTGTCCGTTCGTAGAGCCGTTGCGTTTGGGCGTCTTCGGCTGGCGAGGGATCCAGGAGGGCCTCGCCCGGCGCCTCCTCGCATGCTTCGCAGCCCCGCGCGGCCTGGCCTGGCGGCGGAAGACTTCCGCGAATTCGGGTGGGGTGGGGGGTGGGGGGGGCGCCGCGACCGCGCGCCGGTTGCGCTGCCAGCAGATGCTGACGCAAGCTGTTCGTACCATGTCGGACCGCGCGCTTGCAGGGAGGGGGTGCGCCGGCGTGATCGTGCCAGAGGCGGGCGACAAAGCGGGGGCGCCGCGTTTTTTGCGCGGGAGGCCAGGGGCGGCCGCGCGGGCCAGATGCGTCGCTGCCCACGGCTAAGCCCTACCCACACCTGCAGACCTTGGTGGCTGATCCGATGGGCCTGTGTCATCTTCGGGGCGCGCCGCGGATCCTGCTCGCGAAGCCGCTTGCGGGCAACTCTCTGAGCTGGCCAGGGGTTCTGCCGCAGATCCTGCGCGGGGCCATAGAGGAGGTCGATTGTTTCAGATGCTCGGTAGAATGCGCCCGGGCCAGCCGACAGCCGCACCTGCGGCGCGGAACGCCCGCGGCGAGGTTGTCGCGGACCTGGATGCTATCGCGGTGGATTCCTGTAGTCATTGGTCGGCTACGTCTGCGTCGCGTCAGGTGGGTCGCCGCGCGCCTAGGCGGTGGCTTCGCCAGAGGTTCCAGCGTGGCAGCTCTGCCGGGATGACGTGCGAGCAGCCGTGGAATCCTCTCCAGACTCCGCGCCTGGACCAGATGGCACTCCTTCCTTGGCGTGGCGTTTGTTGGGCCCGCTGGCCATCGATGCGTCGTTCGAAGCTCTTCAACGTTTGGCGGCAGATCCTGTTTCGCCGGCGCTTGACAGCGTCCTGCGAGGACCCGACGAGTCCACGGGATTCAACAGCAGTTTGATGGCCTTATTGCCGAAGGCGCCTACTGTGGTAGATGCAGTGGTCCAGTGGTCGGAGAATCGGAGAATATTACCACCCTAGAGACACCCGCCCTCTGAATATCGTGAACAGTGACGACAGGATCCTGCCCTGCGCTGTGAGGCTCAGAAGAGCCGTCGCTGGGCTCGTGGATTTGCGGCTGCCAGCGCGGGTTCGTCGGCGGCCGCTCGATGCTCGCGAACGCGGTAGACGTGGGCCTCGCCATGATGCACGCGGCGCTTTGCGACGACGCTGGCTGGGCAGTCTTCTTCGACTTCGAGACGGCGTTCCCCGGCGTGGCCCGCGTTTTTCTGCGCGGCGTTTCGGCTGCAGTTGGCTTGCCGCAGTGGGTCCTCAACTTCGTGGCAGGTAATTGGAGGCAGGCAGGGCGCCGGCGCGCGCGGTGGTTCCTCCACCTCGTGGCAGACAGTGGACCTTCAACTTCGCGAAACCGATGCGCGTTAAAAGCGGGGAGCAGGCGGGGCAGCGGCTTCAAGCTCTTGGCGGGCAGTTGGCAGGTTTGCCCGCTGTCGCTTTTTTTGTCGCTGCAGCAGCTGGTATCCTGCTCCGTCGCACGCGGCGTCTTGTGCTCGGGGCGATCGCGCGAGCATGCGCGGGCGACGTGGCCTGGCTTCGCTGAATTTCCGACGCTGGTCTAGATCTTCGAGGAGTTATCGCGAATCTTTGGCTCGCGGTTGAACCTGCGGGAAACGATGGCCGCGTCGCTGTCGCCTGAGGACCCCGCTCTTACTGTCCAGATCAATTTCCGAGCGCTTCGCCGAGCGGGCCAGCGTGAAGGGGGGGTTTCGCGCGAAGTATTTGGGTTATATGTGCGGCCCTGACCGAGGCGATGGGGCTTTCGTAAAGCCCATCCATAAGTTTCTGGACCGCGCCCGAGACCGGGGCGCCGCGGGAGGGGGGGCCCTCCTCTCCGCGCCAGCATGCGGCGTGCACGTTGTCATGGTCAGTACATTCTTGCATTTGGACAGCCTTCCGCCGGACTGGGGGCGCAAAGAGGCCGCTGCCCTGCGAGCCCTTGTTCTCAGTTTTGGATTTTGGCGCGCCCCTGCCGACCTGTACCACTTGCCGGGGCTCAGCTCTCAGAGGGGATTTCCGGACGTCGCGAGGCTTTCGCTGGCCTGCCGCTTTCGGGCGGCGCAACGGGAAGGATTGCCCGATGGCTTCGACGTTGCCGCTCAGGCGCAGCAGCTGCGGCTGTGGACGCGGGGCGCGGAGCGGTTTGGCCGTCTGGCACGCCGGGCGTCGTGATTCCAGCGGTCATTCATCTTTCGCCTCGAGGCCGCGGCGGGGCGCTTTGCTGCCGGCGGGGTTCGCCAAGAAGCCCTCGAAGGTGAGTTGGCGCGCGGAAGTCCCCGCCTATATTGCAGCCGCGCGGCGAACGCAGTACGACGAGGCATTCAGCGGGCCGCGCTCGACGCCTTTCCCATGGATGCCAAGGCTAGGTTGGAGTGGCGAATTCGAAGCGAATTCGCGAGATGGAGTGTCCAACAACTTCCGCGGCGCAGGGCGGGGCGCCGCCTGGCGGTCCTCCGCGAGCGCGGGGCGCGGCTTCGGACTTGGCCAGCTGCGCGGCGCACGTCGTGGAATGTGTGTGTGTGTGTGTGTGTGACGTGCCGGCGCGTGCACGGTAGGCGTCAGCGCGCTAACCAGTGCATCTTCTGCAAGAGTGCTGTTCTGGACTCCACTGTGAACTGCGCGACATGCCGGCCGCGCGGGGATCTACAGCGGAGTCGCGACGAGATTGCGCGACTTGTTTCTTGGTGCTGGACGTGCCTGTCCGCCGCGTAAAGCCCGAGTTTGACGTTTTCGTGCGCAAGGCACCGCGCGCTGCAGGCGCGCACAGAGTGCACTGCCTCTTCCGCCACGAGGCGCGGCCGCCAGACCAGCAGCGCGAGAGGCGTTGCGCCGGCGCGCGCGCGGCGTGTTGAAGGCCACCTTGTCTCGCGGCGAGCCTTTGGTCTGTGGGGCTGAGCGATTGCGGCGCCTGCGCGTTATCCTCTCTTCTCTCTCCCCCCCTCCCCCGTGCTGCGCGCCCCCCTCATCGGCCGTGCGGCCGGGGCAGCACGTGGCGCCTTCGCCCGGGGGGGGCAGGATTAGCCTTCCTCCGCGTGGCCGTAACGGTCCGTCGGCGCGGCTGGCAGCCCACTGTAACGGGGGCAAGCGATTAAGAAAATCTCGGAAGGCTCAGACGTCCCCCGGCCGTCTGAAAAGTGTTCTGAGCCTTCCCCGAAGACACCACCGAACGTTCCTCAGAAGGCGCGGGGGCTTCTGAGAAGCCCTGCCGCTTTCTGGGAAGGCTCGCCTTCTAATGCCCCCCCTCGCTCGCAGCCAACTCTGCGGCCACCTGCGAGACCGACCCCTGGCGGTCCAGTCGACACTGGGGCATCGGACATCTCGGCTGGGGTTCACTTGCCTGCAGACATCCCTCAGGGGGAGGAGAAAGGAAGGGGAGGAAGATGAGGATGAGGTTGAGGATGAGGATGAGGATGAGGAGGAGGAGGAGGAGGAGGAGGAGGAGGGGGAGGTGGAGGAGGAGGAGGAGGAGGAGGATGATGATGATGATGATGATGATGATGATGATGATGATGATGATGATGAGAGATGATGAGGATGATGAGGATATGAGGAGATGATGATGATGACGATGATGACGATGACGATGACGATGAATGATGATGATGATGATGATGATGATGATGATGATGATGATGATGATGATGAGATGATGAGGATGATGAGGATGATGAGGATGATGAGAGGATGATGAGGATGAGGAGGATGAGGAGGATGAGAGATGAGGAGGAGAGAGGAGGAGGATGAGGAGGAGGAGAGGAGGAGAGGGAGGAGAGGAGGAGGAGGAGGGGGAGGTGGAGGAGGAGGAGGAGGAGGAGGAGGAACCCCAGCCTGTGTTTCAGAAATCTGGCCTGCGGGGGTAGGGTTGACGTGTGGATGCCCAATCGTCGCCCAGGCCAGCGCTCCTCCCCTAAGCTGAGCCCCGCCCCCCCCCCGTTCCCACTTCCCCTCAGGACCCGCCGCGCCGTGGAGCAGGACCTTTGGCGACCCAAGAAATGGTCGTTCTCCTCGTCCTTCTCCTCTCGTCCTCCTCCTCCTCCTCCTCCTCCTCCTCCTCCTCCTCTCGACCTCCTCCTCTCTTTCTCCTCCTGCACCTCTTATCCTTCGCCTTCTCCTCCGAAGGGGGGAAGAGGGATGAGGAGGGAGGAGGATGGCTAGGAGGGAGGGAGGAATTGTTGCAATATCAGGATTCTCTTGGTGTCTGGAGGCCGTTTTCGAGCTCCAGGACCGTCAGAAAGGTCGGGGACGAAAAGCCAGCCTCCGGGGAACAGATCGGGATTTCAGGGGCCCCGCACTGAAGCAGTGACGACGTCAGAGGATCGAGGGTCGAGGATTTGGGATGTTTCTGCAGCTTTGTGGGCTTTCAGGAGCACCCAGAGGCCTCCGATTATCTCCAGAGTCTTCTGGACGCCGGCCATACCCGGGCATCCACCATGCTGGTGTTTCAACCTTCGCATTTTCCGTTGGAGTGTTTGGTGTCGTCTTCGGGGCCCAGGACCGTCAGCACAGGATCCGAGATGACATGCCGAAGGACCCAACCATATGCAGCTGCAAGTTCGGTAAGGAGGGTGAGGAGGAGTGCGACGAGCAAAAGGACAGGGGCGTATACAAGAAGGACGAGGACTGATTCCACCAGGCTGGCGTCAGGAATGATGCGTGAGGTCGAGGAGGACATGAGGAGACGCTCGGAGCATGCTTTCTATCAGGCGGCATAAGAGTGCGGTGGCATGGGCGGGAGGCGAGGGGGCGGCGCCGTGCGGAAGCGGCCTGGGAGTTTCCGCCGATGCGCGCCGATCATCCCGAGAGAAGCCCGTCACGCGCTGGGTTCGTCCCCAGCTTCTCAGAGCGAACGGGGACCAGTCCTTCGGTGGCGTTCCCCCATGGGGACCACGAAACGTGTGAGGGGCGTGCCGATCTCGGCGGGGCGTCGCCAAGTAGACTTTGCCATTGGGGCATTCTGTGAAGATCGCTATGAGGCCACGAAGCGTGTGAGAGGCGTGTCGAGATGGGCCGGTTCGGCCGGCGCCATGCGGACTTTGCCACCAGGGCCTTCGGTGGAGCACCCTTTGTATGGGGCCACGAATCGTGTGAATGGTATGCGGATCTGGGCGGGGCGGCAAAATGCGAACCTTGCAAATGGGGCCTTCGGTGGAGCTTCCTGTGGCCATGGGAACGTAGGAGGTTGTGCCAAAGTACAAGTGGCGGTGTCATGCGGCTTTTGCGAATGGGGCCTTCGGTGGAGCTGGCTATGGGGCCACGAAGCGCGTGATACGTGTGTGTGCCGAAATGGTCGGGGCAGCGCAGTGTGGACTCTGCCATTGGGGCTTTCGGTGCCGCCACTTGCAGTGCCGGGAAGCATCTGGGAGGTGTGACGGAATGGGCGTGGCGGGGTCGATGACGGTGACGATGATGAGGATGATGACGATGCGGAGGACGATGTTGACAATGATGTTGAGGACGATGTTGATGAAAAGGACCAGGGGGTGGATGACAGGGAGAAGGGAAGGGAGGGAGGGAAGGAAGGAGAGGATGTGAGGTGAAACGCGGAGAGCTGCAGATACAAAGCCAGGACCCAACACACCAACAGCACGACGAGCCTGGCAATGGTCCCAGCCCATGGCATCTCCATATAACTCTGGTCATGTATTGCTTCTATCCACGAGACGTGTGAGGGATCTGCAGAAATGGGGCGGGGCGCGTGCAACTTTTCTCGCTGAGTCTGCACGTGGATCATCGCCGGGGCACGATCTGTGAGAGGGTTGTGCCGAAAGTAGTGGGCGGAGCGTGTGCGAACCCTTCCTCGGGGGCCGTGGGTGGAGCTTCCTGCGGCGCATGAACTGTGTGAGAGGCGCGGCGGTGAGCGTGGGGCGACGCCATGCTAACTGTCCTACCGTATGAGAGGCTCCATGAGGGGCACAGAACGTGTGAGGCTGTGCCGGCATGGGCAGGGGATACGTCATGCAATTGTTCCAACATAGGGCTGTTCGGGGCTCCTGTCGGGGCTCTCTTGAGCGATCGTGGTGCCATCTCGAGGCCTTAGCGGTCCACCAGAAGCGAAAAGGCGAGACGGAACAACGAAGGGTCTCTAGAGCCATCTGAGCCCATCTGTCGTAATCTTGGATTTTATCTCGAGCTGCCTGAAAGCCATCATGGAGCCGTCTTAGCCCAAAGACCTTCCAAGGATGATCCGATATGCTAACATCTTCCATACACTGTTTTTCCCAACCATCCTGTGGTGTTGGGTCCTCGTTTTGAAGAGACGGTGCCCCGCGTTCCTCTCCTCCTTCCTCCTCCCCCTCCTCCCTCCTCCCCCTCTTCTCTCTTCCGTCAGAATGATCATCTGCAGCATCATCCTCATCCACATCCTCATCCTCATCATCGTCTTCATCATCGTCCCTACCGCCCATGTCGTCACACCCCTCACACGTTTCGTGGCCCCATAGGGAACTCCACCGAAGGTCCCACTGGGGGCGTTCGCATGCGTCTCCCCCACCCAGGATAGCGTTTCGTGGCCCCATAGGGAGCTCCGCTGAAGGTCCCAACAGGGGTGTTCGCATGCGTCTCCCCCACGCAGGGCAGCGTTTCGTGGCCCCATACATAGGGAACTCCACCGAAGGTCCCAGTAGGGGTGTTCGCATGCGTCTCCCCCACCCAGGACAGCGTTTCGTGGCCCCATAGGGAGCTCCACCGAAGGTCCCACTGGGGGTGTTCGCATGCGTCTCCCCCACCCAGGACAGCGTTTCGTGGCCCCATAGGGAGCTCCACCGAAGGCCCAAGTGGGGGTGTTCGCATGCGTCTCCCCCACCCAGGACACTGTTTCGTGGCCCCCGTAGGGAGCTCCACCGAAGGTCCCAATAGGGGTGTTCGCATGCGTCTCCCCCACGCAGGACAGCGTTTCGTGGCCCCATAGGGAGCTCCACCGAAGGTCCCAGTAGGGGTGTTCGCATGCGTCTCCCCCACCCAGGACAGCGTTTCGTGGCCCCATCGGGAGCTCCACCGAAGGTCCCAATAAGGGTGTTCGCATGCGTCTCCCCCACCCAGGACAGCGTTTCGTGGCCCCATAGGGAGCTCCACCGAAGGCCCAAGTGGGGGTGTTCGCATGCGTCTCCCCCACCCAGGACAGCGTTTCGTGGCCCCATAGGGAGCTCCACCTAAGGTCCCAGTAGGGGTGTTCGCATGCGTCTCCCCCACCCAGGACAACGTTTCGTGGCCCCATGGGGAGCTCCACCGAAGGTCCCACTGGGGGTGTCATTTCGGCACACCCCTCACACGTTTCGTGGCTCCATAGGGAGCTCCACCGAAGGCCCCAGTGCCCGCGGCCGCATGCGTCCCCCACACCCATTTCGGCACACCCCTCACACGTTTCGTGGCTCCATAGGGAGCTCCACCGAAGGCCCCAGTGCCCGCGGCCGCATGCGTCCCCCACACCCATTTCGGCACACCCCTCACACGTTTCGTGGCTCCATAGGGAGCTCCACCGAAGGCCCCAGTGCCCGCGGCCGCATGCGTCCCCCACACCCATTTCGGCACACCCCTCACACGTTTCGTGGCTCCATAGGGAGCTCCACCGAAGGCCCCAGTGCCCGCGGCCGCATGCGTCCCCCACACCCATTTCGGCACACCCCTCACACGTTTCGTGGCTCCATAGGGAGCTCCACCGAAGGCCTCAGTGCCGCCGCCCGCATGCGTCACCCCCACCCATTTCGGCACACCCCCCGCATTTCTCGCACGGCAGGGTCATCACCACGGTGGCGTGCCAGGGGCGCACCATGCGCGAAGGCGACGGGGCGGGGGAACGGCGCTCCGGGGGCGGCCAGACCTCCGGGGCGCGAGCAGTCCGCGGCCAGACCATCTCTCGGTCCTGTGGACTCTCGCCCTGGGCCGTCGGCTGCCCGGCGCGCTGCTCCCTCGGTCGACGTCGCCCAGGCGTGATCCTGGATTGCGGCCGCCACGAGGTAGGGAACGGCAAGAAGGAGGACGACGACTGGTGGCTGGAGCTCTACGTGCTGCTCTCGCGCGCCACGCGCCACGAGGACCTCCTGCTCATGCGGGCGCCGCGCATCGAGTTCTTCCTGGCAGGGCCGCCGCAGGGCTTGCGGAAGCAGCTGGAGCAGTTTGCGGCGCGCACGAAGCGGTGCAGGAGGGAAGCGACGGCCCTCGCCAGGGAGCTCGGCTTCACCGAGTTCATCCGCGAGGCCTGACCTGAGGAGCGTCTCCCCCGAGCCGCGCCTTCTCTCGACTGCCCGACTAATTGTTTGGCCTCGCGCCGCGGACGACCCGCGCGCGTCGCTGGGACCCTCTCGGGGCGACCAGCGCGCGTCGCGGGAACTCCGTGCTGCGGGGGGCCCGGCGCCTCGTTCGCCCGTCGTCGCTCTGCCCAGCGGTCAGAGACTTGCCCGCTATCAGCCAGCCAGTTAGCTAGTCAGCTCTCTCTGCTTCGCGCAGCGGACGACCCGCGCGCGTCGCTGGGACCCCGCCCGGGGCGACCAGCGCGCGTCGCGGGGACTCCGCGCTGCGCTGCGCCCGCAGCCTTGGATTTTGGAGTGCGCGGGCAAAGAGGAAGGAAAAGAAGAGCCGAAAGCGGGCGCGATCCTCGCAAGAGGCGTGCCGACATGGGCGTCGCGACGTGCGGGCGCTGCCGTCGGGGTTCCCGCGGAAGCTGCCTGCGGCGGCCACGCCCGAGTGTCACGTGTGTTCGGACAGGCATGCTCGACACTTACACTAGGCGGTTCCATGATCGCATTCATGCAAATATATTCACTCGCGCGCAGACCCATTCATACTCAGATTCCCTCGCGCTCTGACTCACCCGCGTTCTTTCTCTCGTAATCAGATCAATCGTAATCCTTTGCGTTGTGTACCCCGCCACATTTCGGCACACCCCTCATGCGGTTCGTGGCCCCATAGGGAGCGCCACCGAAGAAGATACTCCCAATTGCGATACTCACAACTGCATATGGTTGGGTCCTTCGCCA